CGCTTTGTGACTAATGTGATTATACAAATGCGTGAGTTGTGTAGAAGTTGTAATCATGATACTAACAGAATATAGCTGGATGTATGAAAGGAAGGTTAGGCTTTCTATTAATCCAGAGTTTGAAAGGGGTTAATGAATTCATTCAGTACGTCAAAGATCATTCCGAGAGTAGTAACCTGAATGAAGTTAGGTGTCCATGTTTTAAATGTATCTAAAGCTTGAGCACACTCAATGTAGGTAGCTTGTAAAAATGGAAAGCAAAGGGAGAAAGAGGAAGAGAAAGAGACCGGCGACCACTAGCATCTTTACTTAGAGCATGAGCATTAATTTTTCGCTCTTTTCTCCCTTTGCTTTCCATTTTTACAAGCTATCTACATTGAGTGTGCTCAAGCTTCAGCCTTTTTAAGAGCTCTATGAGGTGTGAGGTCTGAGGCCTTGGGATTTTGCTATAAAATATAGGTCTCTCACATTTTACAATGGGTATGGAAAAGTAGCTTCTATCCAAACTACTGTCTTAGGTGAAATTCAGAACCTATCCACAATATGATACACATTGATCTAACTGCTATCATGATCTGAATTATTTGAAGCTCTTGGAGAGTAGTTTCAGAAGTGGGGGGTTCATCCTTTGATATTGGATCACATCACACAGCTTCTCACATTTTGTTGTCAAATCAAGGTCATCTTCAACCTATTCATCCCAGTTTTTAAGTAGGGGGATTGTGGGGAATGATACAACAACAAAATCAAAGCTTACTTCCCAAATCGATAGGGCTGGCTGCATGAACCTATCATCCACATAAGTTCTCTTCCATCATTCCCTTCTATCCATTGCTTTCTTCATGAGATTTTTTTAACTCTCTCCTTCTCAGTCATCTTGGGCCTCTCTCGGTTTCTTTTGATGCTTCCATCATCCCCTCATCTTCCTTATAGGAGTGATACCATCTATGCTTTTTAAATTTCAAATAGTTTGTCAGGAGGGTCTAAACTCTAAAGCCTACATCAGTTGAGCTCACCAATATTTGTTTTGGAACTTATACCCCTGGGTTTCAGTAGAGGAGATTATGTTAAAAAGAAAAGGTAGTATTATTTTCTTAAAAAAAAAAAAAACTTTTCCCTTTTCTTATGCTGAAAATTGAATTAGAATGATGCCAGCTTATCGATTTCTGATTGAGCTGATGGAGAGGCTGTGTAAAAGGAGCCTGGTTACTTAAGAAAATGTGCTCAAGGTCAAGTCACATTCAAACAACTCCCTCGAAGCTCTAATTTTGCAGGGATGTTAAACGTACTCCTCTTCTACAGTGATTTGGGGTCATCTTCTTTTTACTTTTATACTTCGTGTGCTATAGAAAAGTTCTGTAGGGATAGTCTGCCCTTAAGCTGCTACTAGGAATCCTCTATGTAATTGTCAAAATTTGAGGATGCCTTGGTATAGTTGAGCTTAACCTTATTAACTACTTTCCTTCTCTTAATGTCAATTTAAGTGTGAAAAGGTGTCTTCGAACTATGCATATTGTGTTATGTAGATAGATTTCGTATTCAGATACTTCCTACGTTTTTCTTCTTCTTCTTTTTTTTTTATTTTTTTTATTTTTTTTTTAATTTTAATTGCACCATTTGGTATTTTACATTATTCAGACCATCGTTTGTGATTTATTCGTAAAGAAAAACAGTCATGTGGGATTTAGTTTTATTCGTCTCAACGTCTACTATTCAAATATCAAATGTTTATAATTTTTACTTAAATAGAATTAAAGATATTAATGGACAAAGTATTGCATTGGTAAGCGTGAATTGACAAATGGTGCAATTAAAAAAAAAACGGAGGAAGTACTAGCTTATTACTCCATGTTTCTCTACCAGAGCTTAGGAAAGACATAAGAGAAAAATGATAATGGATAAACAAATGGAGATGTTTCTTCTGTTTCCTTAACTTTTTGCAGGCCGTAGCTGATTAGTATTTATATCCTAGTTCTATGCAACCTGCTAGACATTTGCTGTAGTAATTTAAATTGTCTTCCCTTGTCAAAATGAAAATAACATGTTTTCCAGCCGCAAGTCTGTTATATCTTCACGCCTAATGGCTTTGTTTATGCATCTTTTTAACATTCATGTTGCTACCAGCTTTTTCAATGCTGAAAGGAAGAAGGGTCGTTGGCAAGGGAGAGGCAATGGCTGCTCACTATGCTTTTGGTCCTCATGAAGACGATGCAATTATAAAGCACAGGCTCCTCACTCGCACAACCACAACAAGAGGTGAACCTCCATTGAAGAAGCTACAAAAGAAATTTACTGCCTTTGTCGTTGAGGTTGAGAAGAATGCAGATAATTACAATGATTGTGAGAGACTTGCGAAGACCTTTTTGCAGGAGCTTACCACTTTTGAGATTCCATTATTGAAAAGCAAAGCAGTTGTTGATGCAAATGTGAGGGAAAAGGAGCATTTTAATGAGTTGAATGATGAGATCAATAGCCAGATTCTTCAGGTTCATGCAGAAATAGAAAACCTAAAGAAAGAACTTGAAGCCAGCAAGATTGAGAGAAAGCACAAGGAGGAGTGTGAGACGATACGAAAACTAATTGCCACACAGCCCCCTAGGTCAGAAACAGAGAAGATGATAGCTGAACTTGAGAAAGAGATAGCTGCCTTGGAAGCAGAAGACATGGCTAGTACAAGGATGCTGGAACTTCGCAAGAAACAGTTTGCTCTGTTATTACAAGTGGTATGTTATAAATCTGCTGTATTCCCTTTTTTTTTCTTTTTTTTTCCCCTTCGAGGGACTGCTGTATTACGTGTTTCCCTTCTAATTGTGAGTCGTGTCATGTATGTTGATAATGGAAGTTAGTTCATCATAATTATGTGGAGTTCTATCTGGAAAAAGTCTATTTGCTTAACAATTTAGGTAACTAACACCAGACAAAATTTTCAATATGCCCTTACTCCTTAGTGAACCAAACTAGAGTTGGCCTTTGGTAAAGGACTTTTTGCCCTTTGTGTATGTTAAAGGGGATAATAGACTCTGCACCCTGTTAGTCAGTTGCCTAACTGTTGGGCAATTTGCCAGACTCTTTAACCTGTAAGCGCAATGCTGCAATGCAATTGATTGAAGAAGACTAGAAGGGACATAACATCTTATTGACTATTATATTTTATTTAGGTGGATGAGTTGCAGGTGACAATAGAAGATGAACAGAGGAGTCTAGTTGAAGAGATGAAAAATCTTTCTGAAGAGCAGAAGGTTGGTCCACAAGATCCGAGCGGGAATGCAGAAGCCATGAGCATTGATTAGCAATTTACTGTGTGTGCTAATCTGGGGCTTTACAAGTAATTATGTAATGTTGTGATCGATATACCATCTTTATGATCATGCTGAGTGGGCAAACCATTGGTGCTTTTGCAGGATTAGGAATCATTTTGTACAATTTGAAAAGAGTGAATGCAATCTGCATTCTTTGTTGGATAACTAGGATCATTTAGGTTGTTCGACTCTAAAAGCACGCAAGCCATATTGATCTGGAAAGGACTTCATTCGATCATTCGTAGCCTGAATGGCCATACCTCAGTGTGGTTCTTGCAGCTCCTGAGGTTACACAAAAGCCAGTGATGAAAGTACTCCACATGGATTCTTTACTGGACCATATTAAAATCAACTTACGACTTTTAGCCTCAAGATGTCATATGTGGCCAATATGGGAAGGAAATTATTCTTGTATTTTCCCACAGTTTATAATATATATGTACGAAGTACGATGTAAGTTTGTTGCTTACAAAAGTAAAATCTTTATTTTGAGAACAAGCTATTCAATAGATCAATATCACTAAAAACTTGAAAGAAAGAGATGAAATGTTGAATAACTAGTTTTTGTTTTGTTTTAAAAATTTTAGGAATTTATTTTCGGTGTGTCGTTTACTTTATGTTAGTCAACCAAATAACAAAAGAAGATTTGAGTGGTTCTATCCTTATACCATTTCACTGTGTTCCTTTGGTTCCAACTTACATGCCATGAAAATATTGAAAACAAATATTAAATTTTTTTATTAAACGAGTATATATGTAAAGCCAAAAAGAGATATACTCATCAACTAAAAATAATTTCATTTATAAAATAGGGGTATTTCTGATTTTTGTATTTTCAGAAATATTCTCTACGCAACGGCTTTTTTCTGTATCAGGCAACTCAAGTTCTGAACATAAAAATTACTGGTAGTTTTATTTTTAAAAAGATTTATCACCTAAAAAGTTGAGTCAAATTTAAAATTAGAAATAGTTAGGGTGGTGAACTCCTTTACGGAGCTTCCAAAAATTGACGGGTAATACCTACCGAAAGTAGGGCAGGGAACTCACTCGTCTTAATGATTGTGTGTTCGTTAGGTGGTGTCGGCACGACCCGCCATCACTAGGCGTTCATCAACGATTCTCAAAGTTGTTTCCTAAAGCTTGCAATTTATGTTCAAGCATTGATTAGGCTAAGTAAGAAGGTAGAAGTGATGAATAAATTCTGCAATGAACTGTTAAACAGGATGTTGCTCAATCTTGAGATTTGAGAGTGGCTATATCAGTAAGCTAATTCTATCCCGGGCCAAAGGAAGGGTTTGATTCTCATTAAAGTGAGCTTCAGCCTTTGAAATTTACCCCTTAGGTTGTGCTCTCTCCTTAGCCGATGAAAAACGTTTCATGTTTTGATCTTTTTGTACTTTTGTGGTCACGTTTCTACACGAGTCAGCTCCTATGGTTTCCACGGTTATAGTTCGTTTGTGGTCCTGTAGTTGTGTGAAGATATCATCTGCACAGTACATTTGATATCATGTGGAAAATTTGAACTTCTCAAGGGGTCGCCATTACATTTGATATCGCATTGATTTTGTAATTCACAAGTGAAATTTCGCATTCATTCTCAATCATTCAAATCTATGTACTTTCCACCTGCTTTCCCCCAGAAAATGCCCTTTGAAGGTCGAAGGCAATTAATCGAATATCAACCGAAGCCACAGAAAGAAAGATGCACAAAGAAAGATAAGATGCACATAAGAGAATTTTGACATTCACAAGAATCACACATTTTACTGATCAACCACAGCACAATTGACACATACATTACAAAGCTGTGTGATTTTTTCCAAACTATTGCCTTTTTTTGCCCACAGTTATCTCTTTCCATTCAATGAATACAGCAGGTTAGGCTTTTGAGTTATTGGGGTGAAGGGTGGAAAAAGAGGCAAACTGCTGAAATATCATCCATTGCTGTCCCTCGTCGTTTTCTCTTCCATTCCCGGACTGCATGATCTACCAATTTCTTAGCGGCCTTGCCTCGATTAGGGCTTGAAGATATAATTTGTACTGCCTCTTGATTAGAAACCACATCCCATACCTGGTGCATAAAAAGTGACATATTCATTGTCAATGTTTTGCACTATATCAATTCATAGAGACAGAAAATTACATATATGAAGGTATATAAGTAGAATTCCTTTGCAATATAAAGCCTAATTTGTCCTCCGCAACTATATAATACGAACCAGAAGAGGGGCATACAGGATTATCCATACAGAAATCAACGAAATATCAACCATAACAATTTAATCAGCTCCGTCATTACTTGGCTAACTTTGTTACAGCTCATTATACTACGTGTTTGAAATGTATTGTAGAGTAAGTTTGTATAAAGTGTAACCTCAAACAATAAAGAAAAACCTAGATCTAGCTAACAGATTTTTCTCCTAAGCATAGAACATTTATAACAAGTTTAACAAAGCCACGACAAGTCAACAATAAGACCTACAAAATTCAGGTACAGAATTCTTTCCCCCCTTTTGATATCAATGAAGATGACTCATTCAGATTCTAAATGCTTATAAGAAAACTCCAAAAAAAAAAAAAAGGCTGTACAATTCCTAAAGTTTGAGAGGGCAATTGGCTGACTAAAGCGATCCTATCTATCTCTTAAGAAAATCGTAAAGCTAGAGTTACAAACTTGCATATCAGACATAAACCATGAGTCATTGTATTCAAGAGTTTGTTATTTCACTGCCCTTTCAAAGTTTAAATAATCCGGAGCACATGATTCCAATTTAACATGAAGTATATCATCTAATTTGGACGAGTGTAGCTTACGTGTTAAGTAATGCACCAATCAAAACATTAGAGAATTTAAGACTTCACAATGGAAGCATATAAATAATACTGTATTAGAAGCATATTATTCTCAAATGTGAAAGTGGTGTATTAAATAAATATAGAAAGTGCATGCACATACCCCATCAGTAGCCAGCACAATGAACTGGTCTTTGCTGGTAATATTCCTTTGTGTTACTTCAGGCACAGATATAAGGCCAAAATCCTTGATGCAATAGTCCCCAAAAGCTCTAGACATTGCTAGCCCGGGCACCTCCTCGTCAGGTAGCCACACCCTATGTACTCCAGGCTCATCGTGTAAGCAGAGTACTCGTCCATTACATTGCATTATTCGCTCAGCTTCCTCTGTTAGCATATATCAGAGCATAAGAATCCAAAAATTATGATAGCATAAACAGGATGTGATGAAGATTTGACATGTAGTTAAAATTAAATACTCCAAAGTTGCACTATGGCAGGAGGTCAGAGATTAGGGTGAACTCACGAGGCAAATTGGGCTTGAAATCAATAGTTAGCTGTACAGCTTCCAAGTCACCGTCATCTGTAGTAGTACCCAATACAGCACGAGAGTCTCCAACATTAGCGATGATAATTTTGTCACCCTGGCAAAGAGAAACAATGGGAAGAACTAAAATCAGCATCCGTGATTAAAACAATTTCCGATCATAAAACCTTTTCAGTCTTCACACATTGACTACATTGTTATACTAGTTGAAGAATTTAAATGAGTCTTTGAAGCATAAGTTACATAATTTTCTAGCCTTTAACAGAATATCTGATAAGCAAGGTGCATTTATTTGACAAATATCAATTTGACTAGGAAAGCAGCATCCTGCTACATTTTTTAGATCCTAGCCTTAACAGATACAATATGTTCACAGACTAGATAGTCCAAAAAATTAAGTGGAAGCCACTAACTTAAACAACTTGCTATTAAACTGATCACCGGGATTAACTTTCCTATTATATTCACGACAAAGGAGAATGTACGGGAGGTACCTAATCCAACACTAATTCTGTTTGTCAGTTCATGGCAATTCTATAAGTCATCACCATTATAAAAGAAACCTATGACAAAGTGAACAAGCAATTTGTCCTCTAATGGTCACATATATGTATAAATTTAATCATACATATTTAATAAAAGTAATTAGTGGGAAAAGTACATAATCTGCCTCAGATTCCGCATGCTACAAAAAAGGCTGGTGAAGTCTAATCCCCCAAAGTCCACAAAAATGATGGGCATCATTAGCCAATCTACTAACTAAGTATTCCAAATCCAATGACGCCCTCTTTAGCACATGGTGTTTAAATATGATGGCTTGTCATGTATGTTGAAGTGGATTATTCTTAAAGTTATATGTATGTAAACTTGTTATAACAGACAAGATTCTCATTAGATATACTAAAAGCGAAATCCACAATAGGTGAGAATTTGAGGCTGAGAAGAATTTGTTATGGGCCACAAATTGATGGTTTATCAAAAACTATAATATCCATTCATCATTCTCAGGAGTGATTAACTTTAACTCTCTAAGTAGGACCCTCCACTAAAATGATTTCCATAACTTTTTCAAATGCAGGGACATGGCCTGGAAGAGAGAAAATGATAGAACTGTGCACATGATATCTTCACACAACTACAGGACCACAAACGAACTATAACCGTGGAAACCATAGGAGCTGGCTCATGTAGAAACGTGACTACAAACATGCAAAAAGATCAAAACATGAAACGTTTTTCATCGGCTAAGGAGAGAGCACAACCTAAGGGGTAAATTTCGAAGGCTGAAGCTCACATTAATGAGAATCAAACCCTTCCTTTGGCCCGGGATAGAATTGGCTTACTGATATAGCCACTCTCAAATCTCAAGATTGAGCAATATCCTGTTTAACAGTTCATTGCAGAATTTATTCATCACTTCTACCTTCTTACTCAGCCTAATCAATGCTTGAACATAATTTGCAAGCTTTAGGAAAAAACTTCGAGAATTGATCAGAGTCAGAAGTATGTAGTCACAAATCCCTTTTTATCATGTAAGCATCTAAGCCAAAAGAATATAATCAAACAAATGCAAGCTATCTTCCTTTTTACCATGTAAGCATCTAAAAATTAGATAAAATGAAATAATGAATGCAAGCTATCTTTTATTTACGCCATGTAATCCCTACTTGATTAGTTGATTACACACAAACTAATCGTACAGTCTCAGCCATTAGAGGGTAGAAAGAAATAAAGTACCTGTTTCACAATTGAAAGGGCGGTTGTTCCACTAAAATATGCATCAATTCTTCTGTGTTGCTCAAGTTCTTGATCAATAGTAGCACATGCCCTCAAATAGGATTGCTTCCAAATATTGAACCAATTCATCTTCTTCTCTACCTCTATGTCAAAATCCGGATCAAGCACCATTTGAGCAAGAGCCTCTTGCCAATTGCATAACAATGACGGTGGCATCGATTCCCTCACTGTCTTCGCAACAAAATGACCCCAAGGACCATGCCCATCAAAAATGCCACAAAAAATCATATCGGGTTGACATCCAAATTCCTGTCATGGACACAAATTCATTTCTTTAGTCTATAATATAATATTATAACTAATCATTGACAACATTCACCAATTCATTTCTTCCCAACAGAGAGAATAAAACCATTCAACATCAAACAACCTAATCTTATAAACAAATAAACATATACCCTCCAATCATAAGGATTCCAACACTAATCATTTAAGTGCACATAATTCATATAATTGCTTCAATGTACAATAACATATAATTTAATTAAAATGTATGATATGTTCAAGTTATGTATACCTCCCAAACAATGCAACAATCTTGATTAACACCTTTTTGACCTTTCTTGGTGAATACTGAGGCGAAATGCTTTGAACCCTCGACATTAACAATGCCTGATGACCTTAATATCATATCGTTCCTCTTAGCATCCTTTGCCATGGACTCTGCAGTTTCCCTACCTACAACTCCATTTCCTGAATTCTTCACTTTCTTAATTGACAATGATCTTGCTAACCCATTAAACATTGATGACCAAGTACCCATTTCTTTTATATTCCTGCAATAATATTAAGTAACAACAACACCCACCAATTAATTTCAGTGATTCTTGCTATTTATACTGACCCATCAAGTAAAGCATAGTATATATTGACATAATTCAAAGTTGGAAGAAATGTGATTCTGAACAAAAAAGATAAGAATCACAAACAATTAGTAAGGTTCTTTTGGTTTTTGGGGTTTAGAATGAAGATAAATCTAGAAGAGCGGAAAGTATTTTAGCCAAGAAAAGTTAAAGAATATTGAATCTTACATGGAATTCCAATATTTGTCAGAAAATTCACTAGAACCACATAACAATTTTTTAAAAATATTCCGAATCATTACATTTCTATATTAGCGATTTCATGAGATGAAAACTATATCTTAAACTTAAATTAAAAGCTTATAATAATTAAATGTTAGTACTTTGAACAAAGGGGAAGCATAAAAGTTATGATCAAACAAAGCTCCATCTTTCTATTAAGAGTAATAAATAAACAAATACCCAGATTGCAGAAGGGACCCAGTTAATCCATCTTAAAAACATACCCTTAAATTCTCAATCCCATCATTATTATAGCCCAGAAAATTAATGTAAAAAAGACACCAACTTTCTCCATGAAAATTGGAAATTCAAAAAACCCATTTCAGAAAAATAAGAAAAAATCAAAACCCATAATTCTTAACTATACCAAGAAGAGAAAATTTCCATAAAAAGTAATAAATAAGAGCATGTGATAAAAATAGTAAGTTTTGTTGACAGTAAATTAGACACCTTTCTATTAATTACCCTCAATTCTGTTTGTTCAAAGTTCCAATTTGTGGGAGAAGAGAGAGAAAACAGAGATCAAAGAGCAGGAAGTTGATGCAGGTGATGAAGAAGTGAGCAAATTTGGTGAAATTTGAAGAGAAAAAAGTGGGAAGAAGGGATATTTCCAGAAAATGAAGGAAGAAATGGATCACAGGAGTCCATATCTTGTTTCCCCTCTTATTATGTTATTGAGGAAAAGAGAGAGAAAGAGAGAGACCAAAACTACAAAACGGACGAGATGTATAAGCACATCATGATATCAATACAAGTATGTATGCAAGTGGGTTACATACCAATAAGTTTTTTGATCAATCAGTAAAATTACTTTTACTTTATTTATTGAGTAAATTCTCGACTCTCGAATTTAAGTAATTAGTTAGAATCTAATAGATTTTATTGTTTATATTCTTAAAAAAAAAAAAAGAGTAACAGTGTACAACTATGTATAAGTTCTTGTTTTCTTGCGATTAAAAAGTTGTGCTATCATTATTCCTATCTAAGTGTGCACCAAAAAAAAAAAAAATTAATAATAATAATTTCTACCTAAGTCAGTCAAAAAGGCATACTTAATTTGAACGTTAATATGAATTTTAATTACAATTATTGAGTGGTTCTCATTAACAGTGATTAAAGCGATTTAACGGAATGAAGGTTTGGTAAGTAGGTTACTAATAATAGTTAATGTTGTTACAGAGTTAAATCAATGTGAGGTAAGTAGGTGACGGTAGCATAGTTAAAAAACAAAAAAACAGAGTTTGTGGAATTTGTCATTATGTAGCAACAAGACTTTGAAATAGTCACAGCTCACCACACCAAATACGAAATATATTTTGACTTAATTCTAACAATATTTACTTCTATGTTTACTTTTATAAATCTTCAAAAAAAACACGTTTACTTTTAAAAGAAAGTATTGTATTTAGGTATGGCTTTCTTCACATTATGCAAATAATATTTCAATAAATAAAATTTAAATTATGTAAAATAAGTTCACTTTATTAAAAAATAAGTTAAATTTAGCAAAAATAAATTCAATTCTTTATGTTCAACAATAGTAATTTAGTCTTAGTTCTGTAAATAAGGAGGTAAAGCGAACATAACCTAAATCATTTAATTATATTATATCATTTTATTCGAATTTTAAGGATTTCAAATTTGCCCTTATTACGAATGTACTTTTTCTGGCTTGAGGGTTTACAAGTAAGAAGAGTTATAAAGAGAAATTAATATGAGATATATGTTTGAACTATCCTACATCAGCAAATAAAATAAGGATGATTAGCATAAATAAATTAATCTTATTAATGGGCTATTTGACCTATATATTAAGTAAATGTGGTTATATAAACTTATCTCTAACCATTGTGCTTTTAGCTATATGAGATGTTATGGTAATAGTTTTTTTTTTTTTTCTCTCACTTTGGTTAGCCTATTATTAAAAAAATAAATAAATAAACCAAGAAGTGATGGTTCATATAAAATTTATTATTTGTATCACAAAATACAAGCATACCCTATTACCGTTGAAGACTGCGTTGTCTATCATCAAAAAAGAAAAAGAATTGCGTTGCCCATTAATTAGTGGCTAACTTACTATTGGCTAATACCACTTAATGACTAATTACCCTTAAAAAAAATTTAAAACTAAAAGCCTACATCATGATTAAGGGGCATAGGGTCAACTATGTTAAAATTAAAACTAAGTTTAAGATGTGATAATGCAATGTTGTTATCATCATTAATATTTAATAAATTATCAATATGTATATAACAACAAATTTCGTACATCACTATCGAAAATTCATAAGAATATAAGTATCAAGAGGGTAATTTGTAAATTATATATCAACATCACAAGTGTTTCGGGTGAAAACAATGGGACCTTGCCGAAGGTCCGCTGAAACGGAGAAGACTGGATTCGGTCCAAGTTATGTTGGGCCGAAGGTTTCCTGCACAGTAAACACACGTAAACTAGCCTCGGGGGTGTTGCCGAGGAAGGCCCCTCCGATGCTAAAGTCAGTACAATGTGTAGAAAGAGAACACTATGCAAGAGAATTTGTTGCTTGAGGCTTTATTTGAGTATATGAGAATATAGGAATCTATGAATATATGCCTGAATGTATGAATATTGATGGCTTTTATACCTCTTCATACATGGAGAGGTTGGGCCTTAGCCCAATTGGCTTGCTTTGAGGGCTGACCTTTGACTTTAGCACAATTGGAGAGTTGAACCTTGACCTTGGGCTTTTAATTGGATCATTTAATGCCTAGGCCCAATTGGACTGAATTGGACCCAAACAACTTGCCCCCCAGACCCGATTTGGAAGGATGACGGGTCGGGTTTGATTTAATTCAGAAAAGGAGGGAAGTAAATGATTTAATTAATCCAAAAATTTGAATTTAAACCGTAATTAATGAGATAACAACGGTTAAGGCGGATGATGGTGGAAGTTGGACGGATAATGGGCAGTTTAATCGCAAGGTCGTGTGTTTAACGGTTACTTAGTGGGGTATTTAAGAGAAATTGAAACGCGGACTCCCCGTATTCCCATTCCTGGAGATATAAACAGAGGCGCGTCATCTCTCCTCACTTATTCACCAACACAAACCCAGAATTCTCGAGAGAAACCAAGAACCCGCATCAAAACTTCGCAAATTCCCCGAGCATTAAGCTTAGAAACTGAGACTTGCCACTACGAACTCGTAAATCGGCAACTTTCGCTTCAGATTAAGGTAAATTCCTTTGATTTCAGTTTATTTTTCTTCGAATTCGAACTCCTTCCTTTTTTTTTCGACTTTTTTCTTCGAAATAATCAATGGCAAGAGGAGTTAGAGGTAGAGCCCGTGCTCCAAGAAGAGCAAGGCCAATTCCCGATCCTAGGAACAGGATTGGGACCTGGAATGGACAAAGGCCAGAGTCTGACCCTGCTGAAGGGATTAGGGCGACTCCAATTTCCTCGGCTCCTCCTCAGAGAACGGAGGGGCCGAGCGCTTCTGGACGGGACGATGAAGTTCCCGCTGTCCTTTGGGATATCCTCCCCGGGTTTTCAGAGTGGGAGAATGCCGAAGTAGCTTCGGCCATGATAAAGAACCGCCCCTACTCATGGTGGGTGGAGAATGCCGAACAATATCGGTTTGCCGAGCAAATTGAGTTGCATTACGACATTTTTGAAGCTGATGGGTATTGGTGCCGAATGCCCGCGGCATCCGATAGAATCCATCGTCCACCCCCGGGGTATGTGGGGGTGTACACAAGACAGCTTCAGTACGGGCTGAGGTTCCCTTTGGACGTATTTGTCCGAGACTTGCTGATCCATTACAATATCTCCCTATGTCAGTTAACTCCCACCAACATCCGAAGGGTGATGACATACTTATGGGTCTGCAAGTTCTTCAAGTATGTGCCGAACCTGCACTGCTTCAAAAAGCTTCATCGGCTAGTGCCAAATATTCAAAGTGGGCACGGAAGCCATGGTTCTGGGTGGTACCGGATTGAGTCCCGGCCCCAGTACCTAACCATGTGGCCGAACGACTCTTCAGACAAGGACTGGAGAGGTCAATGGATTTGGGTTAGGGCACCCACAGATCCGGGCCACCCTTGCGTCTTCAGCGCTCCCCGGTACCTTGCTGAGCCTGATCCCGACATGGGAAGTCTAGGTCCCCCCGCAGATAACGGGTCGGATCCGAACCTTGATCAACAACATATCTTCGGCAAGCTGCCGAACCAGGGGGGGCAGCGGCCGAATGCAGCATATCCCGGAGACTTGGCTCCCCGATACGCATTATGTTTTCCAAGAGAACATGCTAGCAGCTGTTGGCCTCAGCCGAAAGTTTAAGGATGGTAAGCTTCTTCGGCTGAGGCCGAGGCTTTTTAATTATCTCTTTTTCTTCTCTCACTTCACTTTTTTATGCTGTGCCAACCTATCTGAACTGACCTTTCCCCTTTTCTTTTTCAGAGCGGGACGAGACCAACGTTGGCATTAACTACGCTCGTCTTGGTGTCAACTGAGAATGAGTTGTAACTGATCAGGCCCCGTCTATCACTGAACCGAGGCATAGGGAAGTTCATCTAGACTCTTCCCACTTCCAAATTGAGGCTGTTGCTCTGTATCAGAGGCAGAAGCCTTGGTGGAAGAAGAGAGACCCCTGGTTTCAGCTGCTGGACGAAGAAGCTGAAGCTGCCCGTACAGCCGAAGAGGTTGCACGGGTTCTCGAAGCTTGCGAAGGAGGAGAAGGGTCCTCCAGAGCTGCTGAAGAAGAAGCTGCAGCTAGGGCAGCTGAAGAAGACGAGGCTTTGCTGAAGACCTCGGTGAGCTTTCAGACTTAATTTTATCTTTCTTCTTTTTTCTTTTTTCTTTTTTTTTTTACTCACATTCTTCCTCCCCCCTGTCTGTTACAGTCTGAAGAGAGTAACAGACACAGAGAAGGGAAAGCCCCTGTTCGTCCCGAAGACCAAATACAAGAAGAGTCTTCAGACTCAGACATGGACGAGCAGCCTCTTCAGAAAAGGCGCCGAAAAATGGCCATCATCGGCCCTCATGACTTTCAGCGGAGGCCGATGACCATCGGCGTTGAAATAAGGGAACCCGAGGAAGGCAATGGATCGCCGAGGGTTCCCCGGCCACCACCCCAATCACCTCAAAAGACCCCTCCGCCACCTCCTGAGATGGAGGTGGATCAGAGAACTCCCGAATCTAAGGGAGGGGTCCAAGAAGAAATTCAGGAGAGTGCTGCTGAGCACAAAAATAAGGATGCCGTGATGCCCAGTGCTGAGGGTTTCACGGCAGACATTGCAAGAGAGGTTGAGGCTTTCGTCCTCACCCCTGAAGAAGAAGAGGTCATAGTAATTGACTCTTCTGAGAAGGATGATGCTGAGCCATCCAAAGCTAAAGAAGCTCCATCGTCATCCTTTCCTTCTTTCCAGACTCTGCAATCTGGAGAAATGGGTTTCTCGGCCCCCCGAATTCCAGTCCAAGATCACATCTGGGACCTCATATGGGGTCAGAACCGTGAAGGTGCTGCAGCCTACTTCGGCGATTTTGCTGGCATGTCGAAGTAGATAGGGCAAGAATTGGTCGCTGAAGGCCACTGCTGGGATGGGCAAATCCAGCAGATCAGTTCCTGACCCAGCCAGGTCTAACCAACTGCTGATGATGCAGGTGATTTTCCTTGCCTTTATTTCCTCTAAAATTCAGCTATATTTTTATTTACTTTTATTTTTTAACTTGTGCTCCTGTTTTCAG